CACGATGTATCATCGTAACGTTGGCTCCTCCTCTCCTTGAAATTCAAATTTTTACACTATTGATTCTGTTGGCGTAGCTTGGTGGGCGTGGCAGGGGAAGGATACTGCAAAATCCCCATTCCCTCCCAATCAGCTGGGACTCGGGAGGCAGATAATAGAAGGGGCGGGGCCAGCCAGAGGTGGCATTTGCCGGTTCTCCGAACTGCTCAAAATTTCCACTACTGGTTCTCCAGAACCGGCTGGATTTCACCCTGCTTTAGGACCTTTTTTTCACACGTACAACCATTGCAGCTTCCCCATGGTCGCGTGTCTAAAATTCAGCCGCTTGGCAAGGGACTCATATTTATGACGGTTGCAGGGTCCTGAGGTCACATGATCCCCTTGGGAGACTTTCTGACGAGCAAAGTCAATGGGGAAGCCAGATACCCCTAGCAGCTGTGTTACTAAAGGACGGCCTTGATTCCCTCAACTGTGGCAAGGAAGGTCGTAAAATTCACTTTAACCACTTGTCTCAACTTAGCAACGGAAATGTTGGGCTCGGTTGTGGTTGTAAATCAAGGACTGCCTCTACCCTTTTAAATAAAACAGGTTAGTTTGAAACAAGTTCCAACGCTCGGTTTTGAGTTTTTGACGGCTATCTTTAGCTCTAGGGCAGGGGTCGGCAACCTTAAACACTCAAAGAGCCACAAAGGTCCTAACCGGAAGCCCCCCCCCCCACACCATTCAATTCTGGAGCCGACCAGAAGTCTGGTTCCCCCACCATAGAGTCTCCTCTGAGCATAGCGTCCTTTTTCCTCTGCTGACCAGAAGTCCGGTCCCCCCATCATAGAGTCTCCTCCTAGCGCTGCATCCTTTTTCCTCTACCTGTCCTAACCGAAAGCCCTATCGATTGTGGAGCCGATTGGCAGCAGGGAGCCGCAGCAGAGGGATGAAAGAGCCACATGCGGCTCCAGAGCCGACCCCTGCTCTAAGGGCTCACAGTTTCAACCCCAAGCTGAATTCAGACACGAGTTTCATTTTCCGGTATCCGTTCTGTTTCTTAAGTGTGGGTAGTTATGGAAACTTTCCTTGCAAACTGAATTGCAGCTTTTGTGCACACCCAAAACTCCTTTGTTCACAAGCCTCTCAGGTGACCAAGAGTCTAGACATGTACAGACTGATCCACCCCTGTATGCCTTTTGGTTCGGCTTGGCTGCAAACAACTGGGGGGGGGGGGGGGCGGGGAATATATATCTTGAAAGATTTGAAAGAATGTGGCGCTTTAAAAAACACTGTTGATGCAGGCAGAGCCATAGATGCAAAAGAAAACATAAGGATTACTGTGTCCCCGGCTCTGTTAAAAGTTGCTGTTTCGGCTTGCACAGCTTTGGAGGAGGCTGTGCAGAGTGTTTGTTTAAGAGATATATCACCGGATCATTGTCAATAGGCAAAGGTCAAGATGTATGGTAATAAAAGGCACTTTACCTTTCTTAACAATGAATCATTTGTATGCAGTGTTTGCTGTGTGAAGTCAGGTTTTCTTTTCTTTTTTTAAATAAATCATGCCACAGTCGGAAAGGTGAGGTGGATCCTGCGATGTGGATGTGTAGACAATACCTGGATCGGTGTAAAATACCTTGCACATCACTGAGCATCAATCCTCCCATCTTAAATTTAGGATATATGTCCTCTCTTGGTTGAACTCAAATGTATTGATTTTGAGTTGAAATGGAAATTGAAATCGAATATCTGGGGTGGGGGGGGATTCACGTTCTCAAATGCCTGCAGGCAGGCTCTCTTCTCATGACTACAGTTGAGTCAATTTGCTAAGCAAGACCGTTGTTAAATGAGTCGCGCCCAATTTTATGCTCCCTTTTTTTGGCCATGGTTGTCAAGCGAATAGCACCGTTGTTAAGCGAATCCAGATTCCCCCATTTGTCGATCACATGACCCCCGAGACGCTGCAACCAGGGTGGGCTGCTGGGGGTTCGCACGAGTTCAGGAGAACCTCTAGCTAAGATTCTGTATAGTTTGGAGAACCCCCCCAAATCCCACTCGTGGCTGGCCTCGCCCACACACCTTCCCCTCCTAGGAGTCCCCACACAGCCTATTTTGGATGCAGGTAAGTGCAGGGCACATACAGAGACTCGTGTGTGTGTGTGTGTGTGTGTGTGTGTGTGTGTGTGTGTGAAAAACAGACCTACCGGAAGTTTGGGAAGGCCCATGTCCCGCCTCCAGAGGGCCTCTGGAGCTTGGAGAGGCCGTTTTCGCCCTCCCGGAGGCCTAAAAGGCCCCTCCCACCGTGGTGCAGGAGACCGACTAGGCCATGCCCACCATGGCCGCACCTCCTAAGTGCGAGGACCAGATGTGTGTCACTTTTTCCCAGGGCTGTCGTAACCTCAAACAGTTGCTAAACGAACGACGGTAGGTCACGGCCTTCCTGTAAACAATTTCTAAAATGTTGGGGGTGGGGTTTCCCTTGAAATTAGGAGACAATCAACAGAATTGCTACCAATGCCTGGAAACAATGGTTCACCGACAAAACCGCGAAGCTCTTTTCTGCGCCGACATAACCGCGGAGGGCAAATCCAGGCCGTCCGAAGTGCTCAGTAAAATGCGACCCTAGTGTGCCGACATCAGTACTACATTTTACTGTCTGTAATTGATATATTTATTCCATTTGATGCAACAAAATAAACTTTTACTAGCATTCAAAAGCTAACCCTAACGCTAAACCTAAACCTAAACATAACGCTAACCCTAAACCTAACCTTAAACCTAACCTTAAACCTAACCCTAACCCTAAACCTAACCCTAACCCTAACCCTAACCCTAACCCTAAACCGAACCCTAAACCGAACCCTAAACCTAAACCTAACCCTAACCCTAACCCTAACCCTAAACCTAACCTTAAACCTAACCTTAAACCTAACCCTAACCCTAAACCTAACCCTAACCCTAACCCTAACCCTAACCCTAACCCTAAACCGAACCCTAAACCGCACCCTAAACCTAAACCTAACCCTAACCCTCACCCTAACCCTAACCCTAAACCGAACCCTAAACCCAACCCTAAACCTAAACCTAACCCTA